TGATATGTCATTTGTAAAACTAAATACGATTATTCGTATGATCTAAACTAGAGGAGATACTGTACAGAAATTAACACTGTACGGTTGTATAAACCTATTATATGAACATAAGGTAAAATCATATCATTAACATTTCATGCTAATAGTAATCTTCCAAAAACATTTCGACACTTTCTTCCAATGTTACGTTAGATATGTCGATAACGTAACCATCTGAACTTATCACTTCCAAACTTCCCGCATCCTAAAATGTTATCGATTTAAAGATACACGCATTTCTCCATATAATCGATCTCTTTCCTTTCCTACGTGTTCCATCTCATCCTTATAAATGATTGCACTATTTCAGTACATACACGTATACACACGCTGCACACACGCATACACGCCACACGCACACATACTGATACATACACCATATATCATATCTGTGATACCTATGATACGTATGCATATACACTTGCCCACAGACATATACTGACATACACTACACACAACTATAACGTCACTCTGCTATACACATATATAACATGTCACTCCGACAATGAGAGGATAGAAGGAAGATAGTCTCAGTCTTCGGTGCTTCACTTTATCTCTATTTGTGTTTCTTTCATCATCATCACTGTTTTCCAATTTATAACATCCGTAAAGAAGTTATTTATGCTCTGTTGACCTTTGACCTTTAGGGATTTTTTTATTGATACATCAATAAAAAAATCTTGAACATTTGAAAGAATTTATTATTTTATATAACATACCTATTTTCACCCATCAGTTAAAAAAAATTTGGAATTATGTTAAATAAAATTTGCAAGTAATTATACGAATTTGTATATTATATGAATTTTTTGGAAAAAGGAATTAAAAATAGTATTCATTATAGTTGTATGAAAGGGGTCACGTGCGTCACGTGCGGCTGCTTTTACATTTGTTACTTAACTGAATAATACTTTTATTTTGCGTATTTCGGTGGAATTAGTAACACATTTTAATTAGATTATATATAAATGTATAATTGCTGGGCAATTCTTTAGCTCACAACGCTTAATTTGGATTGTATAATGTTTTTTAGATTAATTATCTTCCATAATTATTTGCACTTTCACATCCACTTTATGTATATAATTGTGATTTTCAGGTTTTTCTCGTTGAAGCTCTATAACAGTATCAAATTACATTAAGCAAATAATTTCGTATATTAGCTATAAATGGCATTAAATAAATTAATTGGAACAGTTGCTTCTCTAGCTGTAAGGAATGTTTCCCAAATTGGACAAAAATTTGCTGCGTCAACGATTACCGTGCGTGATGCACTCTCGATGGCATTAGACGAAGAGTTAGCAAATGATGATCGTGTTTTTTTAATAGGTGAAGAAGTTGGACATTACGATGGCGCCTACAAGGTACTGATGTAATATTATTACTTTACTATTTGAGTTCCCAGAATTGATTTAGTATCTCAATTTTTTAATTAAACATTTTAAAACCGAGAAATGTAAAGGAAGAGATTTGTACATTCTTCACATTGAAAGATGGAGTGTATGAGTTTTCTCCTTAATTTTTTTCTTAATAATCTATGGCAGATTAATTAACATGAATCGAAAATAAATGGCTGTATGTTTAACGAAGAAAATGCATCGTTTTTTACGATATACACCTAAAAGAACAAAAACACGGTTTATTGTTTTTCGATGTAGCATCATGCATATTATTATTATTGCCACTTGTTTGTTTGTTTTTTGTTTTACCATTTTTATTCAAGATTTCGAGAGGATTGATGCGTAAATTCGGCGAATCCCGTGTAATAGATACTCCAATTACGGAAGCAGGCTTTTGCGGCCTAGCGGTTGGTGCAGCATTTGCAGGTCTTCGTCCGATTTGTGAATTTATGACCTACAACTTTTCTATGCAATGTATCGATCAGATAATAAATAGTGCAGCTAAAACATATTATATGTCAGCGGGTCGGGTAAGTACTTTTTCTAATGTAACACATCTTTCCCCAGTTTTTCAAATACTACTTTTTTCATTATTTTCTGAATGCTTAAAATCAAAGCATTAAAGGTTCAAATTCACAATATAATAATATGAGAAGGGAAGGGAGAACGCAGTTCACTTTCGATTTCGTTTACTAAGAAAAGGAAACTCAAAGGCATTATTTAAACTCAAAAGCATTACGTCTACTAAGAAAAGGAAACTCAGTCAAATTATGGCAATATAAAAGTTTTAGTTACCTTGTCCAATTGTTTTTCGTGGACCAAATGGAGCAGCTGCTGGTGTTGCAGCGCAACATAGTCAAGACTTCACGGTATGGTATGCTCACTGCCCTGGACTAAAGGTATTCATCTTAATTTTTCATCGCCTTTATTTTTTGCTGCCATGTTTCATTCTTTTTCATTTTTAGTTTGAAACTGATTTTCATATGTCAAAACTTTTCAAATTAAAAAACTTCATCCTCACAACTGATATCGCTGTTATTTCATTTTTCTCTGATCATCAAATGTTAGGCTTTATAGTCAGACAGCTGTATACAGAGAACAATTTCAAAGCTAAGGAGTGTAACAACGAACAACGAACGTTGAAATTGTTTTATGTTGAATAAGCTATTGGAATGGAACTTCTTAGAGCATATGATTATATATAATGATTATGCATAATTCAGTGCTTGATATTTATAGGTTGTGGCACCTTATTCCGCAGAAGATGCAAAGGGTTTGCTCAAGTCAGCTGTTCGTGATGATAATCCTGGTAGATCATTCTATTTATAAGTAGAGATTTTCTTTTTATTTTCGAAATATGGAAATTCCTGTGGATTCGATTTTTCCTTTTATATTTGCCAAGATAAAAATTTAAAACAATGTGCCGAATCAACGGATAGAATCAATGAAGAGTGCTTCAAACCTCTTTCGAAAAATCGATCATTTATGTAACGTAAAATATGAGCGGTATTAGTTAGTAATAATAATAAACTGATGTTTGTTAGTTAAATAATAATAATTCTAGTGTTTGCTAAAGTTTCCTCTTAAAAAAATCCCTCTCTTGAAATATTTAGGGAGGATGCTGAGCTAACGCAATGTACTTTTGACGATCCTAGGAAAATAAGAAAGTGGTGACTATATGTACTTAAAAAATGAAGTAATTGTGCAACTGCTGTTTTGCCAAGATGTTGGAATAGAATTTGGAAATAAAATTAAAATTGAAGGTTATAGATTAGCAAGATTTCAAATTTAGCTTCATTGATTTTTTTAGTAGTTGTATTGGAGAATGAATTGTTATACAGCGAGACGTTTCCAATGTCAGATGAGGCATTGAAAAATGATTTTATGGTACCTATCGGCAAGGCAAAAATTGAACGAGAAGGCACAGATATAACGCTTATCTCATATTCCTATGGTCTGGTAACAACAATGAAAGCTGCAGAACAGTTAGCCAAAGAAGGCATCAGTGCTGAGGTATATTATTTATATATCATCTTTTCAATTTTCTCAATTTAAATTTGGTACATTCAAATCTGGTTATTTAGGTTGTGCGAAAATTAAACTTCATGACGGGATTTACGACTTTGTTTGAAATTGGAATGCGTGGAAGAAAAAAAGTGTAAAGTGAAATTAATTGTTTCACACTATGCCGTATTTTTCAGGTGATTAATTTGCGATCCCTTCGACCGTTTGACTTTAAAACGATCGAGAAATCAGTCATGAAGACTCACCATGTAGTAACCGTTGACAATGGGTGGCCATTTTGCTGTATAGGATCGGAAATCTGCATGCAGGTTTGCATTTCACATCTTTGCACTGCAAAAATTTTGTGCCATCTTAATGATTTAAGTGTTGTTCTTTTAACCGTTAATGAATTTGAGTTTAGTTGAACGAATCAGAAGCATATGGTGCTCTGGATGGTCCCGTATATCGAGTGACTGGTGCCGACGTTCCAATGCCATTCAGCGAATCTCTCGAGGTTGCAGCACAGCCACAACCGGCTGATGTAGTAAAAATGGCGAAAAGATCATTGAAAAAATGAGGGTATAAGAAAACTAATTTTTATTCACTGCAGTGGAATTTCTGGTCGATGCTAATACATTTGCCAGCTATTTGTTAATTAATCATAAATTTTGTAAATATTGAAACTTCTGTTAATTTTGAAAAGTTCAATTTTTCTAGAAACAGTGTAGGCTAGCATATTCATTTTAATTTTTTCAGTAATTAATTTTATTTTACGCTAGTGAGATGGAATTTTATTTATTCTTACCACATACCTCAGAGTTTTCTTTCTCCCTTTCCACGGAGTAATTTTTTAAACGTATTTATTTTAGAAGAAGAAATCATGTGTGCTTTAAAACTCACTTAAGCAGTGTAATAAAAGTTTTAAATTAAAATATAGAGGTACAACGTAGAATTTGTTAGCAAATTAAATAACTTTTGGATTCACATCTCTGATTCCTTGAACTGCTTAAACTGTTATAATGCAAGTTAAGATGCATAAGTAGCGTCAGAAGGCGAATTGTTTCTTAGACAGATTATTTTGATATAACTGTGGGCTGTCATCCAGTTTCACTTCAATAATTGGCTGGAAGCATCAACATTTCAAAAATTTTAAATTTTAGAAATTAAAGAAAAGCAGCAACCTACCATTGATTAGCGTCATGAGATGTCCCTCAAGAACCTCCGATATTTTGCGAGTTTAAAGCAGTTAATCCCGTCGTGATATCATTATTTTTGTTGCAATAAATAACTTTAAGATTAAGGAGACATCCTTGATATATACGCAGCCAATGATCGCATTGAACATTGATCATAAAGAAACAAGTTTGCGTATTATCACTGATATTTACATGGTAGGAACCAAGAGAAAGGATAATGCATTTTTTGGTTAAGATACAAATTACTGGAAAAGAACAACGTAGATATAATATAACAAAATCTAAGAAAAGCAGTTTTTTTTCTTTTCGTCTTAATTTTTGAAGTTGTTAAATAAAATGATTCACATGTAGTGAATTATTGATTAGCAATGGACAGTTTGACCCGTCGTCGTATTCTTGGAACAACATCTTTGATCACTTGTGTCGTTTTCCGCTCACCTCTTGCAATTTGGAACAATCGTTTCAATACCGGGTCGCTTTCTTTCGTGTCAATCATCTTCATACAATCTTCTGCTAACGCTCTAAATATCATTCGATGATACTCTTTAATGTTAACTAACTTTCACTTTTAAATTACTTAAGAGAAAGAGGGTAAAAAAAATATTTACATGAATTGTAGGGGAAGAAAATTGCATAAGTTGTCCATAAAATAGCCGGCCGAAAATTTATCACTTTCTTCTAGCTCATTACGAATTTCCGAGAAATTCCGGAAACTTATGAAGCTCACAACTTACATGCACATGTCTTATGTATCTCATTAAATCATTTCACAGGGATTAATGACAAGTCCTTGTAAAAATATCAAATATTATTGAATTTCATTTTGGGATAATACAACTGAACGATGATCTATATAGCCAGCCTTCCACTCACAATATCTTCTTCCATCAAAAAAATTTAGAAAGCGATAATTTATAATGTAAGTGATCGTTTCGTAAAATCATTTTCTATTTTCCTATTTCAAATCAGGTCAGAAACATTAACATTAAAACTATAATCATATTAATCAAAAAAAAATATAAAACTAAAACGCTAAAAGTAACCGTGATTCGCTGCTCGTTACATCATCGCGAATATCGGTAAGAGTGAAAAGAAATTCTTGCGTCATTTCTGGATATTTACGAAATAATGATGCTAATTCCAATGAAAGCATTGCCTTATCACGAAGTTTTACAAATTCGGAAACTGAATACAACAAATCTGTTAAATTTTTCGCCTATAATATAAAATATTTTTAACAAATATTATCTTTAAAATTATTTGGAAGAATGCAAAAAGTAATTTCAAAAGATAAAAGACAAAAAAAATAAATAAATTGTGGGAGAAAATTATTTGTCATTCTCATATCCTTTGTCTATGCAAAAAATTCATAGATAGTTTTATTTCAACATGATGTAGAAGAGAAGAGAAGAGAAGAATGAATGAATGAATGAGAATGATGATGGAAATGATAACTAAGTTTTGATAAAGTGAATACAGTAATATGTTCCAGAAATTTTGAAACAATGCTAAGGTAATATGATCAACTATTACTGTTTAACAAGAATTATTGGATAGTAGAAATTTTTGAGAAATGCTGAATAGAATAAATATATCGAACTGTCATCACAATCAAGATGATATATGATCACTACTACTGTTTAACAAGAATTGATGGATGTAAAACTTATTTTGAGAAATGTTGAATAGAATAAATATATCAAGCTATCATCACACTATCAGTTATATCGAATAGATAAATAAATAGCTACAGTGAAAAGAAAATTCTATAAAATTTAACCTTATTAATATAATTAAATTGTGCAAATAATGGATTAAATGTTACATTCAATGCTTTAACATCATTTTGAAGACATTCGGCAATATCACAACGTTTCCAATATTCTGTGCAAGTTAATTTTCTAAAATCAACAAAACATTATTATCAAATTAAAATGAAAAAATTTGCCCAAGTTTACACAAACGTAAATTCTGAAAGTTAAATGATCGAATTATAATTAAAATAAAAATTCACCTGCTTACAATAGCATTTAAATATTCAGCTATAATTTTAAATTCGATATTTCGAAGTATTTGAATATGAACATCTTGCCTGAGATGCTTATAATCATTCTCATAATCTTTTATTGTTTCACAGATTGTTCCAATAATATTTGAATCTTTCATCCTAAATTTTATAAATTGAAAATTTTTTTCAAATTTTTCTTTTGCTAAAATTTGCCGCTAAATTATCAACACAATTTAAACATAAAATCAAAACATATATATATATAAATCAATTTAAATATCGTTAAATGAATTAAAATCTTATTTTCATTGAATTAATACCATTGTTTGCTCAATAGTTGTTCGAAGCAACTGTACAAATCGCTATAAATTTCATCACAAAGCATATTCATCCTGTAAAACAAAGAAAAACAAAATAATATTATATCATTTTATCAAATTAAAATATCATCGATAAATAAATTATTTATCGTAAATAAAAAATTCAATTAATTTTTGATATAATATAAATGAAGAAAAAATTACGTAAATAAATAAAATAAATTATATTTTTAAAAGTATTATTCATAAAATAATAATAAATATTATATTGATTATATTCATTATTTATATGAAAATTTTTTTCATTTCAGATAAATAAAAACGATTTTTCCGATTTTCCCATTTTCCGATTTTCCGATTATTCCGATTTTTCGTGAAAATTTTTTTTCGAAAAATTTTAAATAGAAAGCAAAAAAAAAGTAAAATGAAAAACTTACACCATCCGAAGCATATCGCTGAAACATTTTTTTAGCATTTCAATCCTCTCCCAAACAGCTTCCATTGGTTCCTCATCTTCCAATTTAATTTCAACTTCACTTTCATCATTTGATTGATTTCCAGAATTAACATCATTAAACTCATCCAAAATATTTTCTGATGATGAAGGCGTTATATTGGCTAATGTTGCTGGTATATCCCGAAGGGCATTCATCGCATCATGAATTGCACCTTTTAAAAATTGAATTGTCTCTTATGAATTAAATAAGTAGTAAATGAGTTCAAAAATATATGTAAGAAAATAAGTAAGCAATAAATGAGTAAAGGATATATAAGTAAAAAAAGAAATTCAAATATTGATTTCTTTTCAATCATCCTTTTTCACTTCAAATAATAATTACCTTGCATTTTGCCACTGAAACGATTTTGTTTTTGTTTGCTGATAGTAGTAGTATTAGTACTAGTAGTTGTATCAGTTGATGATTGTGAAATGATCGAAATTCGTTTTTGTTTTCGGATTTTATTCCAATCCAATGATTCATTCCCTAATTCTTCGATATATTTTATCAATTCATTTATTGAATCAGTAAACATATCCAAATTGTTCGCAATCGTCATCTATATTAATGAAAATTAATTAAGGTAAATAATTTAAATCTAGGTAAATAATTTAGATACTAAAAAAAATAATATTTTAATACCATTATTTTAATATATTCCTCATTTTGTTCCTTCTGATACATTCCTTTCTTATTTTTCAGCTCGATGATAGATTCTGCAAAAAATGAACAATATATTGTGAATAGTGGAAGACAAATGTTGCAACGTTTTTAAATTACCTTTTTCCGCTTTTTTTCACTATAATAACTCACATTCATAATTCGCATAGCCGACATATGCCAATGTGACATATTCCATTATGCAGTATATTATCAATTAAGTAATTAATCAGTAACCACTAATTAAGTAATTAGTCAATTTTCATTCGTTACTTCATTGATTACTCGAATTGATTACTTAATTAATTAAATAATCAATCTTCTGCCGCTCTCAATATTCTCTTATTTCTAAGAAGAATGAAAAGAAAGAAAAATTTACCTTCTAATTGAGGACAAATATTCCTAATATATTCATTTAGGCATTCATTCAAAACCTGTGGTACAATTTCATCCGAAATTTCACAAGCCAAAGTCATCTAAATGAAATAAAATTATTAAATTGCATTGCAATTATGAATAGTTGCATAATTTTTACATGTATATATGTATTCATATTATAAATGATATATATATATATTCTTCAATTTAACAATTTTATTTCATTCAATTTTTATTTCAGAAAGGAAAGAAAAATTTTATTTCAAAAAATACTTAATTAATTTCAATGATTTTATGATAGTATTATTGCAGGTAAATTATAATAAATAATTTACACAGTCATATATTTTATTTATATTAAAATTATTTTTCAGTTCTTTAAATCATAAGGAATATTTTCAAATTACCTGATCATTAACAACTGAATAAAGTATATGAGGTAAATGAGTATAATAATGTCCGAATTCATCTTCCAATATATTGTTTCGCAATTCTTCAATATTAGCAAACTGAAAAAGTATATATTATAATGAAGGAAGTTTTTGTACTCTTCATTTTGATCATTTCATTGCCAGCAACAACATTTCATCCTATCTTTATTAATTTCCTTTTACATATAATCATTAGAATTATTCGATCATGATCATCACAATCAATCGATCATTTAATATGTCACGAAAAATAAGAGTAATCATCTATCGAAATAGATATATACGTTTTGATTTCACTTGATGATTCGAAAGTAAAAAAATTCCAACAGACTCGTGAAAATTAAAGATCTTCAAAATTAGGTTTCTCTCAGGTGAATCATTTATGCAATAAAATTGTTACTGACCTAATTTTGATGGTTTTTTGCTTGCATGATGCTGTACCGGTTGATTAGAATTCTTTTCTGACATATATCTTATACATACATTTTACCATATACCCCTAATTTCTCTCGTATTATCATAAAGTTAATAGGTTAAAATTACAGGTAACAATACTTTTTATCAACGTTTTAAAATCTATTAAATTATCTGCCAATATGAAATATCCTTCCATGATCAATTATCGGCCAATATGAAATGTCCTTCCATTTCAGTTACACTCTAAAAATGAATTAAAAAAAAGGGTAATCCACAATAATTAATTCATACTTCTTGCTTTACAGTTTTCAGCGCCCATTTTGTTGTTTCTGATTTTATTATTTCAATAAACCTAAAAACAAACAAACTTATTTTCTGATAATATTAAAAAATTAAAAAAAAAGAATATACATTTCAATAAATCTAAAATTAGTTAATTCTTTATAAAATCAAAAATTCAAAAAATAAGAAAACCTTCTGAGAAATCTCATAGAAAACATACATTTCAAAAAGGCGTATTAATTCACTTTGCTTTAACAATGGCTTATGTTGAACAAGTGATATTACATCAATTTCAAGAAATGCCATACCAAGCATATGTTCTCCGCTGCAACAATATTCTATAATTTTATCGTCACCAATAAGTAAATTGTTTGTCATTCCTAATTTCCAATTTCAAATACTGAAATTTCTAATTCATCGATTTATCTATTCCTAAATGATTTGTACGTACAATTTAGATTATTAAACATAAAAATTATTATAAAGAATCATTTATAATTTCATTAAAAAAAATGTTAATAACAAAATGATCCTTTTTTTATTTCTCTAAATTACAAACAAAGAAAAATATTACAGAGAAGATTAAGTAAAGAAGAATAACGATATATAAATAATTCGTAATACTAAAGTTTTATGATTATCAAAGTTAAATTTCCATTATTAATATTACATAGGCGATAATTTTAAAATGAAAAACTTACGAATACTGCCTTATCCAACTTAAAAGTTGTATTAATTCACGCTTATTTAATTCACCTTTTGCCAATTCAGAAATCTATAAATCAATCTAATAATGATCATTCAAAAGTGGATTAAAATAAAATCAAAATTCTTCCTCCGTTGTAAAACTTTACATTTTTTTACAAATATCAAAATATATATTAATAGATTTTATCAATCAAATTAATTCATCAGAATTTGATTTACTGAATTTTATCACTTTATAATAAAAGAAGACGATCGTTTAGGGTTAACTATATCATACACGTACGTGGCGTTAAATTACGAGAAAGATAAAATGATAAGGAACTAATATAAATAGCATAAATATAAAATTAAACTAAAAAAAAATTGAAAATTAATGGAAAGGAAATTTTCCAATGAATACTTTATTAGCAATTCCATTATGATAGAATGTAATGAAATTGTTGTAAAGTTGATGATCCTTCGGGAAAATTCGCAAGAAATGCTTGGCCGCATATAAATCTTCCACTATATACAATCGACATATTTCCAAATTTCTGTCAATAATTTAGATGGAAAAAAACTTATCACTTTTAAAAATTAATTTACTGAAATGAAAAATTATCACAGTGAAATTGTTAATGTTATCAATGGAAAACAAAATTAATTCAAGAGTGTATGTAAGTAAAAGTTTTTAAATTTTAATTTTTATCTTACACTTTACTTTTCAAATCTCTTTCATGCAATTCTAATTTTATTTACATTTCTAATTTCATTTGTATTAATTAAAATTCTAATTTAATTTTCATTAATTATTTATATAAGATATTATTGTTGAGAAAAATAAATTGTAGAAAAATATTTTTGAAAATTTTCAAGCAAAAGATAAAAGTTGGAAGGAAAAAAAATAAATCAATAAAGTTTCATAAAGAAGATTTACAAGAAAATTCACAAAATCAAATCTAAATTTTAATAATTTTATATATTAAAATAAATTGTAATTATACCTTATCACCCAATTTTGATTTAACTTTCGATCTTCAATTTGAAAAGCTTCTACACGTTGTTGTACACGTTCTTCAATTATTTTAAAAAGCATTTCACGCCAACAATGTGGACGATTTGCAATTTTGAGCTGATAATTCTCATATAATTTATCAATTCTATAAAAGCCATTTATTGAAACAAAAAAAGAAAAGGGAAAAATTTTTAATTAATAAATAGTAAATAAAAAATTGAAAGGTAAAAGAAAAACTTAAGCAAACTAACTTTTCATCAATTTCAATCGCTCGAAGAATTACTTCAAGTTGCTTTTTTGGTTCTGAATTTTTACCACGCATAATATCAATGGCTCGAATGCAATAATATTTTGCTTCATTGATAAATTTTTCATAAATCCATTCAATCGGTTCATAATACGGTATAAGTAACTGCAGGAAAATAAAAGCATTATATTTCATTAAATTTCACATCCAATTGTTCTAACTTTATACATAAAATATAAAACAGATAAATGCAAGAAATTAGACAGAGAGAGAGAGAGAGAAAAAAAAAAGAAGAACATTCCATATATCAATTATTTAGAGAGACATAAAAGTTTTTGTCCATTCTTAAATTAAAGTTCTTAGCTATTTTAAAGTAATGCCTATGAACTTATGGAATACATTAAGGGTAAATAGAAATTCTATTTATCAACAACTAATTCAAAAAATATATATATACATACCATATCTAAGGAAATATAAAGAGGGTGGCCAAAAATGAAGTGGTTAACTATTCTCTAATTACATTCATTCAAGTGACCAGCTGACCTTATTAATAGTATCAAATTCGTTGCGGGATTTAGCGAATGCAAGTAAATGATATCGTTTACTTTCTGCTTTCAGTAAGCTGAAATATGATCATAACTGATCGATTGATTGATCATTTCGGTTATGCCTTCGAGATAAATGAATTATCTTAATTATATAAATAATGTAATTGCTATATTACACGGAAAATACTACAAGTTATCATATTAGTAAAGTAAATCAATGATCTAAAAAGTCGAAAATATTTGTCATATTTATATGTAAATATAATGAATTTCTAGTTATATCAAGCATAACTATTTCGTCATATTTACTCAATTACTTTATTTTATAGTATGAAATACAAATGTGAATAATGTAAACATTTACTCTATCCTACTTTTCAATTTCAAATAAACAAACTTTTCAATAGCAGCAAGAAGATTGCTATTGGTAATATGATTATTGGCTTCCTCAAAGATATCCTCTGTTCCAAAAAATTTCTTCAAAATTTTACAAAATTCAACTTCACGTAATAAAGTTTCTTGAAAGTATTTTCTCATAACCAATAATTCATCACAATATGCCGTATCATGCTCAATTCTAAAAATGAATTATACTTTCAAGAAATCTAAAATTCTTTTTTTTGAAATTTTTTATTTTAGACTAATTAGTGAACTTTTCATTTTATAATGTTCTAATGATATTTATAAAAATCTATCTGTAAATTAAAATTCCATAAGAAATTTAAAATTTCTAATAAAACTTGATGAAATCATTTGACGTTAAGATACCGCCTCACTTGATCAGATTAGTTATATAAAGTGATCACCTCAAATCCTTTATATCGTCGTCACTACCACTAGAATCACCAATATTTATTAAACTTTCCAAAAGTTGTTTACCAAATGGCTCTTGAATAGCGATTTTTGCCTGTAAAATTAGTACATCATTATTCAAATTCAATGATGAGTTCAAAGTTCAATGTTCAGAAATGTAATTTATAAGTAATTATATTACCGGATCGTCTAACATATTCATACAAAGGTTTTTCCAGTTTCGTGGACGATTCAGAAAACCAACTAAACCTTTATCTTTACGTATTTCATTATCGGCATCTAATCTGCAAATAAATGAATTTTCAGGAATTTAAAGTTTCGGATTTTTATCAGTAATTCTGAAAATTTTGATGATAACTTTGTTGGAACACCTATTCTTCTATTCTTTCGCTTCATAAAACTTTTGATATTTTCGAAATTTAAATTTCTTCTTTATTTTATTTCACTTTCAAATGCAAATTTCAATTCATGTGAAAGAGATAGACTATTGGGCCAAAATTTTTGCTTTCATTTCACTTTTTCAGCCTAATATAATTTTTCAACTAATTTCAACTCTCAGAAAACAATACTAAATCAATTAGTAACTTTTGTCGACTTACTTTATATCACATTTGATAATTTTTAGAATTTGTTGAATCATATCATCACTAATATAACCGGCATTATTATCATTACCATTATTATTATCACTAGTAGAATTATTTAGAGTATCAGCAAGTTTCAAACAAATTACATCACGAATTTGTATGGCCATTAATTCGACATCATTAAAATATCCAATAATAAACTGCAATTTCTTTTTTTTTAGTAGACAGTTTTTTTAATTCTGCAAAACATTTCAAAATTTTCAGAGAAATAAACTTTCTGAATTAAAATTTTGCAATACTATCTTCTGCGGATAATATATGACAGCTTTAATGTTAAGGGCGTAATTACTTATATAGAATATATTAAGTGTATTCAAATTTCTTGTAATTTATTTTAAAATATTTTTAAATCATAAAATTAAATTTCCGAAGAAATATATAAATCATTTAAGTTAAACTGAAATACTTACTTTCCTAAAATCAAAACTTACTTTTTGTTCATCACTTTCCTTATCAGTGAATTCCAATAAATCATTACGACATTTTTCATATTTGATAAAACTAAAACATTTAAAACAAATAGTAACAATTAGAACTTTTTTTAAAATTAAATGATATGATTGAAAAAAATTTTTAAAAGAATCAAAATGATTGAAAATATAATGACTAAGTTATAAAAAGAAATTTAATTACTTTAATCATATATTAGAACAAATATAGTGACTAATGACTAAGTTATTAAAATAAACTTACAATTCAGCTTGATTTCCATAAAACAATTAATGCTATTATATTGAGCTTAAATTTCTAAGCAAATATTTAAATCATTTTCACTCTTGTGAAATGCTATCATTTAAAGTTGAATTTCTTTGCTTATTGAAGAATCGAAAATTATAAACAAAAAAATTAAAATTCATTAACAAAAAGTTAACAATAAATTTTAGAATAAAAGGTAACGATAAGAAAAATCGGAAATAACAAATATCATTTTAAATTTCTTTTTTACTTTCAACTATTTTATTTAATTCAATAAAATTTACTTTTTGTATGCTTTAAATAGCTTTCCATCATAAATGCATGATTTGATATCGGTGATAATACTTGCAGAATTTAAGAGAAGATGCAAACATAATCTTAATTTACTTTTCATCAGAATATATTCATTCAATGATGGTAACAATTCATTTATCATTCCCTTATCATTCATCATTTGTTGAATTCTAAAATATGTCATTTAAAGAACTAAAAGTTAATTTAAATTATTTATTATGTTATCCGATCTTATTATGCCAGCGATTTTATAATATGAGTGAAATGAATTTTATATAAAGCAATTAATTACAGATTACTTCAACTATTTTTAAAATTTAAATAAATTCATTCTTTCCCTAAAATTTAAATGAAAACTTATTGCAATTTTTTATCAATAATAGTTTATATTACAGCTTATTTTCTTTTCATTTATAATATGCCATTTTATGCTTTCATAAGCTTTTAGAAACTTAACCTCTTGAAATCATAAATTATCAGCTGTCATTTATCGGATTAAAAAGAACAATAAGTAATGAATGCATAATAAATTATATAACTAATTTTCAAAAAAGAAAGAGAAGAAGGAAAAGGTAAAACTTTGCGATGACCTCATTTCCATCGCTTCCATTTCATTCATTTCAAATTTATCATTAAATGATTTATCAAAAACCAAAATTTCTTGCATCGTAGTGTCACCTTCTTTCAATGTCGCCATTTTTTTATATTGCTTTTTCACCTAAAATATTCTTGATTATTTTGCTAAAATTATCAATGTACTATACATAGCAGGAGGATATTGTTAAGAAGAGGAAATTCACCTGTTGAATGATGAAACATTTCAGTAGTTAACATTGATGAAATTTGAAATAATCACAATAGTTAGAAATCAATTTCAATTTTTAGTAATTCTAATTATGGCAAATGATTTTTGTGTGTGAAAATTTTAGAATAATATGAAACAGTCAAGTAATAAATGTTTAAGATAATAATCAAAAACAGATGCAATATTCGACTAACAATTAATTAAGTATTGTTGACCCTATGAATCATAAAACTAATCAGGATTTGTAAATTAATATCTCATTTAAATTAATGATTTTATATACGCAGTAAAATAATTTACAAACATCAATTTCCATTTCAATTTCAATTCAATTCCACAATCTGAATTGCAAATAAAATATAACTAATTTTTCAACATCAAAACTATTTTTGTTCAAATGAAATGATTCGATGATCACGACAAAATGATTTTTTTATTTCATCAAAAGTTAAAATAAAAGGTAAAAGTAAATAATAAATGTAAAAATGAAATCATTCGGTAAATATGAAAATCGGAGAGTAAAAGATAATAAATGAAAAAGTGTAAATTGAAATTAAAAAAATTTCAAATTAATAAAGAAAATTGAATGAAACATTGAAATGACAATATTTGACGATCACGAATTTTTCTTCAGCAAATAAAATTGTCATCAATAGATGAACGAGTATCATTTGCTGTTACACTCAAAAAGTTCTGAGAGTACTATTGCAAAATATATTTAAATAACTAATTGATGAAAAGGGAATTACCACTTTCAGCATATACTTTCAGTATAAGTATATTTATTAGAATAATTAATTAATTAATTAATCATAATTACGGTTCATGTTTTCTCATCTCTTCGTATAACTCGAATAGTATAATATCTTCATATCATTCTTTAATAATTTGGAAAAAATAAACAAACAAAAATCAATTTTGAAAAGCAGAAAAAAAGTAATTTTTTGTTTACAACATATTTTAAATATTTATTTGTTTATTGAAAAAAATAGATTCAACCAATGATGTCAATGAATTTTAGTTATTCAAATTTATAATTTAAATTATTTTTAATTATTTAAATTCGCAGCAATACTATAATAATAGTAATATATTTGCTTACTCACTCAACAATCTGTTAAAAATATTATGCAAAAATACAAATTTTGTAATGTATCCATGGCAACTCGTTGAAAAGTGATATATATATATATATGTGTTTTTTTTAATCGCTTCAATTTTTATGGTTCTAATTAAATAATCAATATAATAGAGATACTACAATTATTTTCATTATATTTTATTATAGGTATTTTCAATACCTATAATAACTGTAACGTAATATGATAAAGATAATATCAAACTTTATAAGTTGAAATGATAATTAATTAATTAATATGATTCATTTATATAAGGAAGTAAATTGATATTCACTTAAAGAAGAGAAATTAATTCTATATTATTCCTATCAATGGTAATATTTAATAATAAAAATAGCTTTTGAAAATTTAAATTATTTTTTTATTTGAATAAAAATGGAATAAAAAAGGACTTACAATTTTGATAAATCGATCCATACATGCTTGCCCTATTATAATAAATTGAATTTAATTTCATTTCAACGAGAGAGAGAAAGAGAGAGAGAGAGAGGGAGGGAGAGAGAGATGTTATCTCTCTATATCTATGTAATGATTGAAACATTAAATTGGTTATAAAATCGAAAATTTTTTAAATAATTTTTTTGATACGGTAGATAGCAGAAATATTCCGCAAATTATCGTCGAATTACTATCTATCTATCTATTCATATAATTATTTATTTATCTAATTCTTTTTTTTTTAATTTGAAGGTCATAATATGAAATCTATCATATTTAAAATGTATTTGTAAAACAGAACTAATAATGTCTGTAGAGGTAAAACAAACAATAATTAAGAGAAGAGAGAGGTAAAGAGAAAGAGAGAAAAAAAGAAATACAATTCAATTCAGAAATTATTCAATTCATTTTGTGAAATATATCATAGCAATGGAAAAAGATGATTTAATTGTTATAGATGTTGAAGAAAAAAAGAATTTTCAACATTTAATAGAAATTAAAAGATATGATTCATGTAAGCAAACCAATCGAACTTACTTGCACTTAGTGTTGTTAAAAGATTTGAGAGAAATTTGTGAATTGTAAAGAGATAGAAAAGAATGAAGAAAGATAAAATGGAGAGAATGAAGAAAAGAAGAGAGAAAATTTATTGTTATTTTTCATTTCGAATAATTGAAATAATTCCGGAAACTAAATAATCATTTAAGTTAAGGATTTAATTAGTCATTATATGATTCCTCCTTATACATAGTAAATTATAAAATGGAAGAAATTGTAACACATCTGATTTACTGATATCTAATATATAATAATAAGATTTAAGGTAATAAGTATTACATTAATAAATATATGCTCTTATTCTCAGATACAGATTAAACAATGATAATTTAAATAAATAATTGAGTAATTAATTTTAACTTGACATAAATATTACACAAACTGAAATCTTCAAAAAAGAAAAATTTAAAAGAAACAAAGAGGAAATCAGTAATTTAAAAAAACAAAGAAAAAATACAGGCCTAATTGCAATATAAGAACAATTCTTGCTATAATCTGTGTGATATTTATGCTAATTTCATCAATTTTTTGCTATTTTCATAAATCTTTGGAATATTTTTAAGTAGTGTAAATAAATTTCAAACTTTTGGAAAGGTAAAAACAATTTATGTTTTTCTTTTGTTTTTGGAGAAATAAATGTAATCAAATTATGGAATATAAAAACAACAACAACAACAACAACAGTAATATTCTTTCATCGAAAAGTTTGAATTCTTTTAAACTCTAATATCCGTAAAATTAATTCCAATGAAAGTATTTATTTAATAAGATATACATCTAATTCTCATCACTTAAGAATACTTCATTGATGTCTCATTAACATGATAGCATATTCTCTTGTATAAACTTCGTTAGCCTCAAATTCTTTCTTTTACTGAAATTTTTTGTGTCTATTTTTCTTCCTTCCAACAATGTATAACTTTCACTAACTTAAGGTTAAATTTATTCCTACAAGCTTTGGGCTTATTATCATAAAGCAGCTAGTCTCTATTAATATGAAAAATTGAACGATACTCCAAAAATTTAATCTTAATACTACAAATGTTTTGAAAATATACATATAAGTAATATTGAAAGATAAGCTTTCAAAGGTGGTTTGCATTTTGTTAAGTCAAGCAACTATTAATCACTGTATATATTATTATTAAATAGAAAAAATTATTATTAGTCAAATTTC